TATGACGGGTATTTGGCAATAACGAAATTAAGGTAAAGGCTATGCAAGATTTGTTTCGCCACTTCTCTTCACAATCTAGCCTTAAGGCGACGGTGAAGCTGAATATAGCCTAATGACAACATTAACCTGTAGACTCTGTCTACATTACGATTTTATGGTTTATTTGTAATTTAAAAACTCTTTACTCCCCAAGATTAGGCTGCGTGTTTTGTGGAAGAAATTTATTGAAACCCCTGTAAATGGCTTTAGTGCAGTCCTGCGCTCAGGATGGTGCGTCCAGCAGCACCAAACACCCTTTTACTGCTACCGCTACAGGCCGAGATGCATAGTTCTGATCGGGCTAATTCAGCATGTTTTGGGTAGGATTGTTTGTTTATCTTCTACCAGCCAAGAACATCCATTTAATTTTCAATGACAGCAGTTTCAATGTAGCGAGTGACCATCATCTTCCCTGTCAGCTTGCTGTACATTGCTGTTTAGTGCTCTACCGTAATTCACAGTGTATGAGCGACCACCGAAATACCATTGCAGCTAGAATATCCGTTGTTTTTGGACTGGCGGCTGGCCTGAACGCAGTCAAAATTCGCTCTTTTTGACTTCTTCATCATCATTTGCTTCACCTTTGCAGGGAGACATTTTAATGTTGTAACAAACGATTTGATTACTTTCTTGCTCTAATCGAAATGCTTCACATGACTGTCGGGTTCGGGCAAAGATCTTCAGCTCTAATTACAACCATAGCCCTGCCAGTGATCTGGAGGTTTTAAACAGAGGTGAACACAGCAGCACAGCGATGTGTTTGAATGGTAACAAACTCAATTGATAAGTCTGTCATTCTCCAATTCCTGTACAACTGTCCCAACAATAATGCTTGCTGCAGGTTGGCTGTATTGGTAGCCGGGACAGCATTGCCGGAAAAGCCATGCAACAAACCTTGTGGATCACGGAAACATACACATACGATTCTTCACAACCACCTAAATACTGCATGATGTGCGTCATCTCACAGCTTGGCAGGTCTGTTTATATGGGTCTGTGATCAGAAAGCATGTGCTGTTATGAATAATTAAGAAACAGCATCTTCTCATAGGATAAGAAAACTCAGTCTATGAATAATAATGAGAAATGTGTGATTATTGGACAGACAAATATTTACTGGACGACAAAAATCGCTACATCACCGATTTTGATAAAGTTAGCTGACAAAAGTTCACAATGATCCAGTTTTCTCCATATTTAAAGCTAATGAGTGCTAACATTGTCTTACTTGATGCTTAACACTGTAAACTAAATCTAGATGCTTAACTAAATCTGTTAAAATCCAAAATAAGTATGCGAGGGTTACTTGAACCTTTAATTTGAAAGTCACAATTACATTTTGTACCTTACATTATGATCAGTTAATTACAGAAAAAATTTTTAAACATGCAAATGTTAATGTAGATATAGGTAGTGAATACTTGACTATAATGTTGACACATACTGTACGTCTCAGCGTGCACATCTGTCAATCATTTGTCTGTCTGTGAATGTGTGTACTCACATATAATAAAATCAACCCAGATGGTAAGACTGCACACATCAGACGAATGCAATCATCTGTCAAGCACATGCTGAATCCATCACACCTTAGCAATACTAGAAAATGCAATAAAATAAATCTGCTTTCAGATATCGATGGTCACTTCGACGTGACTCCAGCTGTAAGGTTTTCAGTCTGTGCCAAACCACTGGGCTCCCGACAATAAATCTTGAAGCATGTAATTGCGCTTGATATGCAAATAAATTTAACTTGTAACAGGAAGAAAAGACATATCCTTGCCAAAAATGTACTCCAGTTTCCATTCCCAGCTTTTTACTTTTAATTAACAGCAAACTTTAGGTTTGCCTGTGATAACTAGTCCTGGCAGAGTTGTATTGTCGTGCTATTCACAATATTTGACCTAAATGATCTCAAAAAGTATCTGAGCCAATGTCACAATGACTTATGTACAGTACTCTGCACGATCCATTACAACACACACTTTAACCCTGATGTAATGCTGCTTGATAGAGAGCAGCCTGCGCTTGAACAGTCAATCTAAACAGTGTTCATGATGTCAAGGACTGCGTTTTCAAATTAAGATGAAAAGGGGAGTGCATGATCACAACATGCAAAAGTAATCTTCCTAAATACAAATCTGAAAAATCATGGCAAACAATTCTTCATGTCACAGATGAACAACTACAAGGACAAAGGAAAAAACAAAATTGCAATCTAATGTGTAACATTGTGATTTCAATATTTACGGAAATTCAAATGTACTAAACATGAAAATTTAGCATGATAGCATGTGACTGTGTCGTTGGTTTTTGCACAAATTTAAGAAAATAGACAAATCTACATTTTTTGTGTAAATTAATACCACAACTTCCAGTAAACTGACGACCACATAGTAAATTAGCTGTATGATTCATTTAAATAAACTTTGAGTCTGAAAGGGAAACTCCTACAAATGCATACGCAATAAGGTCAGCAACAGAAGTGTTTCGTCTTTACTACATCCTAGTAACTACTTTAGTTTTCTTTTACAGCAATGGCCCAAGCTGATAGTAAATCTAGTTCATAATGTGTTGTTTCTTGATCATCATAGATTTTCTTTATAAACCGTGCCACTTAAAAGAACTGTCTTTATAGTATAAAAGTAAAAAAAAAAAAAAAACAGTACCTGTGACTTATTGTGTCTTTATTTCTTATAATATGACATTATATCTCACAAAATAAAAATAATAATAATTATCATACTTCATATTTCATCGTTTGATTTTATATCATAATGGTGTATATGTGCAGTTTAATCGCTGCATTTAAGATCTGAATTTTTTAAAAAGCAGCGATTTTTACTGTCTGGCTAAAATACAAGATAAAGTGGGTATCAGAGTGAACAAGAAGCACAAGCATTTTTCTGCGCCATGTCTTTAAAATATAAAAATTAATTTTACCCCAGTATTTTTAATGCAATTATCTTTCATCTCTTATTGTTTAACGCTTGAACAACTAAATTAATGCTTTAGTCTATTGAACTGAATGTATTTGAATTACATTACATTACAGTTCGGGACCCGTAGAGCTGTGCATCGATGGATTTGCTCCTCAGAGTTTGGACTTTCAGTATTGAATATTAAACCACACTGAACTGAGCTAAACTGAACTGAAACTCTGAAAACTGAACTGACACTGTTTCAATTTACTATAATATTCTATGTGAAGCTGCTTTGACACAATCTACATTGTAAAAGTGCTAATAAATAAAGGTGAATTGAATTGAATTGAATTTAATTGAATTTAATTTAATTGAATTGAACAATACAACAATGATGCTGTAAAAAGGAAACTTATAAAATTGAAAATGATCACATAAAGCTTTCACTGGAAGTTCATCATTGGGTGAAAAACACTAGCTGTGCATGTAGCCCGTTGTGGCATTTTGTGACATTTGTAACCAACTTCCCATAATTGTAATGCCACGTTGTCTCTGACAACCATGATTTTTTTTAGAGTAGTTATGACTTAGAATATTCTTTAAATTTTCTTTAAAAATGTGACTTTAACAATGTGACTTTTTATCACGCTACACGTGAAAAATGCAGTTCCACACAATACCTTCAAGTTGTCCCAACACAAATCAATTAAATTAACCCACTTCTTTTTTTAAATTTAAGTTAATTGAACATAAAATAATTAAGTTATCCTAAAAAAAACTAAAGAATTGTGTTGATTCAGCTCATTATAAATAAGTAGCTGAACAAGCAGCAAAAATCAGTTTTGAGTGTTGTGTATTTAGTGTTTTCCCTCATCAATTCTACTTTATATTTCACAGTTGTGTTTTTCATTACAATTATGGCCAAAAAAATATCACATTTGGTTTTGTCTTAATAATCTGGCTTTATATGTAATAATTGTGAGATTTAAAAAAATAAATACATTATTATGGGAATTTTTTATTATAATGTGTTTTATATCATATTAATGATTGTGTTATTTAATATCTTTATTTATTGATGTTTGTGAGCATTATATGAGCATTTTGAGTATAATTAGTATTTTATATGTCATAATTAAATATTGTTTTCAGAATTGTGTCTGTTTTTGTGTGAATTTACAGTATCTCGCAATTAGGATGTTTTAAATATCAAACCATACTTTGTCTTTCATAATTACAACTTATTGTAATAACTAATTATGTGCATGTGATAGCTAATATGGAGAGGATATTAGTGGCGGTTTGTGATGCCAGAAAATATCCTGAGCTTTACAGAGCTTCATTCATTGCCTGAATTAACTGACCACAATTACATCCCACAACTGCACGATTTTCATTTAGCACAGATGTTCAAATCTGGGCCATTGCCAGAAGAAAACAACCAAAAGCATAGCCTTTATTACAAGTAGCTGAATGAACGTTGCAGCTTTTAAGACGAACAATTCTAAAACACCATTTATCCCAGATGTTGTTACTCCAGATGTTAAAGCCCTCTTGGGTTTCTAATGGAAGTGTGGCTCTGACCCTATACTGTGAATGTGCAAGTGTGTGAGGAAGATTAATAGATTTCTTTGGGAGTAAATATGATGTTTTTTACATTTCGTCACCAGTTTTATGCAGCTGCAGCTCAATTCACAAGGCCTGAAAGCTCTAGAAAGAGAGGGAAAGGTTTAGTGAAAAAACTAGAACAGTCATTATCATAAAAACAGAAAATTCCAACTAAAGGAGCTCACATGATAATTTTTTTTTTTTGAGAAAATCAGGCAAATGCCACCCAAGTGCAAAAAGTAAAACAAAAAATAGGAAGCTGTCCAGTACTCTGTGGTTTGAAACCAAATAAAAAGCACATGATTTTGATAAAGTATCCAAAAGATCCTCGTGACCAGGCAAAGGATGGCGCTGGAAAGAATTCTGACCCCACGCTTTCAGCATGGATCCCCACCCCGTCCCACCGGCCCTGTAGACCTCTATACACACCCATCCACATGCATCAGCAGAGAACAGATCCTGGTGTAAAGAGATGGAAGATTTTGATTTAATTTGAGGCACTTTCCCTGAAGGCGGGGCAGGAAGACAGAATTGTTGACCTTCAGAAGGCAAAGAGGGAAAGACCCAATAGGCAGCCTGTTTAGCAGAGGAGAACAGGGAAAGTGCGGAGGAAAGAGGGGGAAAGAAACAGAGTGAGAGAGGAGGAGAAAGCAAGGTGGGAGAGTAGAACTCTGAGAGAGTGAAGTGACAGCTTGAGGATTCATCAAACAAGGGCAGGAACCAGCAACAGGTAAGAAATGCTTTATTTCTTAAATATAGACTCGAGTCAGTCACAAAATATGTATATCCTCACAAGGAAAGTTGCAAGTGTAAAACTGTTAAGCTTTCTTTAGCCGTTTATTTAGTTTAGCCAAAGCTTATGAAAATAATGGTGTGATTACCTCATAGCTGTACTTTTTTTTCGTGACTTTTGCATACACATTTTAAGGTTTTAAGGTTCAATTATGATTATTTTTATTATTATATTATATATAATTTTAAAAAATATATATATATTGTATTATTATTTATTGAATTATTACATTTTTTGTTTAAATGTTTACATTTAAAACACTTGTAAATAATATTACAAATATATACTTTTTTATCCATTCTGCATGTTTAAATTTTAATCATAATATTATAAATATATAAATATTTGCCAAAAATATGAGATATATGCATTAAACTTTAAAAATATGAATGTAATAATAATTAAAAATGTACAGTTGAATTCAGAATTATTAGCACCCCTAAATTATTAGTCCCCCAGTTTATTTTTTCCCCCAATTTCTGTTTAACAAAGAAGATTTTTTAACACATTTCTAAACATAATAGTTTTAATAACTCATTTTTAATAACTAATTTATTTGATCTTGGCCATGATGACAGTAAATAATATTTTACTAGATATTTTTCAAGACACTTTTATACAGCTTAAAGTGACATTTAAAGGTTTAAATAGGTGAATTAGGCTAAATAGGCAGTATTGGGTTATTAGGCAAGTTACTGTATAATGATGGTTTGTTCTGCAGACTATCGAAAAAATATATAGCTTAAAGGGGCTAATCATTTTAAAATGTTAAAACCTTAAAATGTTTTTTTTTTTTTTTTTTAATGAAAAACTGCTTTTATTCTAGCCAAAATAAAACAAACAAGACTTTCTCTAGAAGAAAAAAATATTATCAGACATAACATGAAATTTTCCTTGCTCTGTTTAACATAATTTGGGAAATGTAAAAAAAAAAAAAATTCAAAGAATGAATAATTCAGATTTTAACTGTAAATATATATATATATGGGGGGGGGCAGTTATGTATGCTTCACCTGTCTCTATTCTAAGTCATTTTTCCACCAATATCTATCAAAGTCTTTTTACTGTGTACAGAAGGTCAGAAAGTACCCAAAATGATACTTTTTTTTTTTTTTAACCTCATCAGGGTATAGCAGAGTCTGGCTAGTGATTCCATTATCATCTGTTACTTCCATCAGACTGAGCTCCAGTATCATACATCTGATTTGTCAGGGGAAGCGTTTTCATTGATTTACTGCCACATTTCCATTTTTCATATTAACTACTTAGGTAGCAGCCGTGTAACGCTTCTAGTTTGATTCATTATTAGGCAAAACCATTATTCTCTTGATTCAGAAATGATATGAGAGAGAGAGAGAGAGAGAGAGAGAGAGAGACCTCTTTTGTCTTTTTGATTTCTAACCAAACAGTTCCCTCCCATTTCGAGTACTGCCAGCTCTGACTCATAACATGTTTTTGTTATTATGAGTTTGTGTTATGCCTAGTAATGACCTTAATCTCCTTATATGGTTATAAACATTATTAGCATTAGCATTTGTAAATCAACATTTCTGATCTAATTGTAGTTTTCCTCGAATAGAGAAGCACAATCTCATTTGAACCCCACCTAAAGCAGACATGCTGCAGAGAACTTAACAAATCAACATTTCCCAGGTTTCCTTTTTCCCAAGGCCCGAACCCTTCGCCTGCTCTTCATGACCATGCAGCTGACACCCAGCCAGACACTTTGAGCCAAACATCTGATTGTGATCATCACTCAGACCCGTAGCACTGCTCCTTATTTTGCGCCTGGGTGTGAGTTCATGCTTAAAATGCATCTAATTTATCTGCTGAAATGAATCCTCTAGGCTCTACAATAGAGCTGAACATGCTTGCTTTAGGGTTTAACCCATCTAGTGATATTTAAGTCACCCAATGCAAACATATGTGACAGTGTTTACATATGTTGGACATGTTTTAAACCTGTAGGCATAGCCAATATAAAATAATCAATATAATTTCACAAATATTATACCAATTCCACTGTGCAGTTTTTTACAAGCATTGTATAAAGAAGCTGTCAAAGAAAAATCCCTAACAGAGCCCAGATCAGAAAAACCGATGTAGAAATTAATCAGTCTGCTAGCTCTACAAAGCTATTGCTTTCCACTGGACCATGGTAAGAACAATAATCTTCAACTTGAGATCATTTCCTGCAAACCAAATTGCCAACATATTTCTAAGAGTGGCTTAAAATCATTTATAAAGTCACAAGGACTCTGGGAAAACATCCAAATGGCTGAATTGCAACTAAAACTTGAACAACGCTAATTCTGCTTTGTATCAGAACATTCCTGATGAGAACATCTCGACCGATCTCTAAAAATGGAAAAGGCACAGTTAGGAAACACAGCAAGATAATGATCTGAAAGACATGCGACTCTACAGTAGAAAGGCCAAGAAAAGCTAAATTAAAATGTTTTGATGGTGTCTAGTCAAATTTCAGACATAAACCCAAAATATGGACCCTAAAATGAAGTTTTTGTTTTAAAAAAAGAAAAAAGTCTCAAAGAGGGTCGGGTTAAAAGTTTTGCAAGTTTAGCTCCAGCAAAGATATGGATGGGAGAGTTTTGGTAATACCATTTTGTTTATTATATGAATTATTTTTAAAAATATTATATTCTATAAAATTAAATAAACAAAGGGTTCTATTTTAATGATCTAGGCGCAAAGTCTAAAGCACATGACGCAAAAGCATTAAAGGCATGTTCGAATCTACTTTTGCTATTTTAAGGACGGAAAAATATGGTTTGCCCCTCAGTGCATGGTCAAACAGGGTTGTGCTTATTCTCTTGAGTTATGGGTGTGTTTTCACCATTATGTGCATTAAACCAATCAGAAAGTTACCTCCCATTCCTTTTAAGAGTCAGTTGTGTCGCACCTTGGCGCATTGGCTATTTACACCGCGGACTTTGAAAGTGAAAAAACTGAACACTTGCGAGATAACAGTTAAACAGACCATATGCAGCGCAAGGATAAAGAACGAGTCTACTCCATTCTGCATCTTTCTCTTTACTTCACTTTTACTCTTTACTTTACTCGTTTACTTTTGTGGTTAAGGAACAGGTGTTGTATGCACTCAACTGAAGACATCCATTAGCCTACATATTTAATTTTGTTTGTTAAGTGCAAAGATTTGTTTCAAAACTATTTCTAAATTGAGTTCTAATTTCCAGCAAACGAATAAATAACAATAACGAAGTGTGTTCAAACTAAATTATATATTATATACAAACAATTATTCAAAAATTTTATACAAACACACGTTCTATGCCCCATATGGTCCAAAATCGGACAGGTGGACAAATCTAAACTTGTTTTTATTAAAACAAATATAAATATTCATATAATACATAATAGGCTGTTCATTCCACAGTGGTGACCCCGGATTAATAAAGAGACTAAGCCAAAAAAGAAAATGAATGAATGAATAAATAATACTACTATTAATAATAACATTATACAAAAGCAAATTGTCATAAATAAACTGAAAAAAGCCCCACAACATGAAGAAGGCATGGAGGCGGTGGTTTTTATATTTATGTAGAAAATAAAATTTTTTGCAACATTGTAATCCTTTAGTTCTTTTTCATTTGTAAATATATTTGTGTATTGCTGTAGATCCTGTGTATATTGAGCAATACACGTTTAAGGCACTCAACTAATGTGCTCTGCGCTGGACTTTAGACCTGCTTTCAGCTGGTCAATTGTGCAGTCTATTTTAGTTCCTCACAATAGCAACGCACCAACAATGCACCTTTCTAGACCAGAACACCCATTTGTCCACAAAGTGGCGCAAATGGATTTACTATTGAAACAACGTGGTGCAAATTGGGAAAATTGCGCTGATCTGAACTAGCAACAAATCGCCTGTCGATTGTCCTGCGCCTTATTGCATCAGGTGTATAATAGGGCCCTTAATCTCAATTTTATTTTAAACTTATAGTATATTTGTCATGTGTGTATATATATATATATATATATATATATATATATATATATATATATGTATGTTTCCATTTAAAAAATCATATTGTGGAAATAATCAAGAACTATTGTAAACTGAATTATAAAATGTATGACTTTCATTTAGAACAGCATATTGGCAAATGTGTTTGACATAGATTTTATTAATCCTTTAAATAATGAAGTAATTGTTTGGGTGTTCCACCAGTCACCACTTCAGCAGTGTAGTTGTTTTTATAATACAGAAATGACACATAGAGGTGGCGGGAGAGCACAGAAATGCTAAGACTACTCTAGCCGCCGGTTTCCTTTGAGCTCCCCAGGGTGTTTAGCCTGTTTTCCTCATTAAGCTTCAGTCTTTCCTAGATCTCGCATTGCACAATAGAGTCTTTATCTGAGCCTGTTTTTAAAAAACCTGTAAAACCAGAGCTGTATTTTTTTCAGAGTCTGAAGAAGTCGTAACACTCCAGCCAAGCTGGAAAGTACATGACGGCATGTTTTGACGAAGACAGAAAGTTAACTGTGACTTTGTCATGCCAGACACAGGTCAAGATATGCCAGAGGAAGAAAAAAAACTCAAAACATTTTAGAAAAAGCTTGCAAAATTCTCAGTTTCAAAAGAGAAACAGTTGTGCTCTTGAATGTTGATGCCACAATAGTCCACAATAAAATCAAATCAGAAATATCAATATGGCTTCTTATCACAATCAAAAATGGAATCCAAATAATTCAGTGTTAGATTAAATTGTATGAGGGAAAAACATTTAGAAAAATTTTATTTTGACAAGTGTTTTTTAAAGTTTTTAACTTCCAAAGCATAAAATACCTTGATATGTTTGCATATATTTAAGAAACATGCCAAGTGAAAATGTTTATCAAAAAAACAATGCTTGAGTCAGATATTCCGCTTTGAAAATGTCTTATTAGTGCTGGAATATCTGACTTTATTTTGGTCCCTTTTACCCACCCAATGCCAGTTTAGCCAATTATATTTCAGTACCCCGAATTGCCTTGATGGAAAACAGTGTATTTCATTAATTTTGTCAAAAAGGCTCTCAAAGTATGCGTCTGTGACTGAAATGTGACCTTGGTGGACAGTAGCAGACTCATGAGACGCAGTTTCAGAGTTCCACATGAGGTGGTTAATAATTAGTAAATAATATAAATATTACGAACATAAATATAAGGTGAACTGGTTACATTGTAACACAGTGAACTAACAACATGCTACGTAATGAGATTTGCAGTGAAAAGTAACTTGGCTGTTTACACCAGACGAAACTTGACAGAAATTTGAATAAAGCAATTCAGAAGCACAAAATGAAAGGGTAAGGTTTGTAATTGAATTAATACATATTAAACCTCATTAACATTATTAAATGTACATGCTGAATCATTTATATGTTTTGGCTTGCACTGAGTTACAGTTGTAAATTTCAATTGACCCTTCGCTAAGCCACGCCGAAAAACCGCCATCCACCAATCGTGGCTTAGCAACTGTAGCTACGGGCAGGGGCTCTGTCAAGCTTTCAAGCTAGTGCATATGGATTGTTTCCCTTTTCAAAACCTAAAATCCAAGAGGAAAAATGCCAGCGGAGATCAAGCTGTGTGAGGGGCGCTAAGGGAGCGAAGCTAAGTTGGTTTTGTTTTGATATTTCTGACACATTCAGTGATAGACAGGCGGCAATAACTCACACACTTCTTGCCCTAAACAGATCTAAACTGTGTTTCCTACAAAAGCACAAAGCTGGTTATATTTTACAGCTGTCTTATTCATTTTTTTCGCTCGATATTATGAGTAATGCTCCGTTTAAGCCTTCGCCATAACGTTAATAATGTAGTCATACTAATAGCGAATAGATCATAATGACATGAGCTACTTATCCGGAAAATACGAATCTGCGAATCTGTTGCTAACTTTACTGAACTTGATTTTTCCATCTATTTCAAGCTACGAATATTTGAAATTACAAATCAACAGAACAAAACCGAGATATGATCACAAACTGAGCAGCTGCGATCAATATACTGTACCCCCAGCTGTTTTTCGATCATCTATAAAGAGCACACAAACATACTGACAGTAATAGATAACTTATTGTGCATTGTTATGGGTCAATGATGCTAATATTCGGCACAAATCCATCAGTTTCTCTTACTGGCTGTTCTTTCTATGAATGAACTATGTAAAAGCTCTGTCATGCATGTTTCCTCGTCCATTAGTAACACTATATTTCATTGCACACCAACTAATCTTCAGGCTTTTTGGCTAAAAATAAAGAAATCACGGTTTCATTTATTATTATTAGATTATTTTTAAATTTCACCTCTCCTGCTGAGCATGAGCTAAGCTGTTCAATGGTTAGCATATGAGGCAGCTAGGCTAAATAGCTTCAATTTTGATTGATTTATTCTCTAATCGGTTGCCTATTATGTGGTAAATATACCCCTGTAATGCATACTGCAGTCCTTTTTTGTCTGGCTTTCTCAGAGAGCTCACCTGTTCGACAAAAATTACATAATATCCCTGGCAATGTCTAAAACCAGCGGAGACACATTGAAAAAACGTGCCAGGCACGAAAGCTTGACAGGCGTAGCAAGAGTAACTAAGGAGGACGGGACTTAGCTAGGGATGCATCTGCTGCTGCTTTCAGTAGTACGGCAATAAATGTCATGTAAAATAGCATTCAAACTCACATTACTAGCATTTATCTCTGAATAAAGCACAGGAGGTGTACCTGAGGTGATCATTGCCAGTTTATCCTGTTGTTCAGCTGCAAGAAATAGAAGCCATTTCTAAAATATAAATTTCAGGTGTTGGTTAGAACAAAAACTTCTTTTAATATGGAAAATATTCCTTCTATCGCATACCCTTGGTTTTATTTAAAACAAGACTTACATCAGCCTTCAGGCTCACTCCTGTTGGTGCCATAAATCTGGCAACCTGTTCTTGCATGTGCTTTGAACTAGGCGTGTAATACCTAGTTCAACCACTTACATACTACACCTTTAACATCATGTAATGAATTGAAGCTATCGGCTAAAAGACTGCTAATAATACACTAATCTGCAATGAATAAAGTAAAATGACATTGTTTTTTTTCCTGTTCCCCTGTTCAGGACCATGAAAGCTGGGCTTGCATACTGCTGTCTTCTTGTCCTTCTTCTGATCACGGATGTCTGTGGCCAGCGAAGGCCAAAACCAAAGCCTGTTCGCCCATCTACCACCAGGAAACCTCCTGCACCGAAGAAACCAACCTCTCCTGCCACAAAATCTGAGCCTGAACCCCAGGAACCCACAGACTTTCCCCCTCCAATCTTAGGCCCTCCCTCAGAATTCTCAGACTGCCCCAGAGAGTGTTTCTGCCCACCATCACACCCAAATGCCCTCTATTGTGAAAACCGCAACCTCCGGAAAGTCCCGATCATCCCATTCCGCACCCACTATCTATACCTACAAAACAACTACATTGATCAAGTTACAGCGGAATCCTTCAAGAACTGCACTGAGCTTAAGTGGATAAATCTGGGAAACAACCGGATCCGCTCGGTGGAAAAACAAGTGTTTGAGAAACTTCCAAATCTCCTTTACCTTTATATGCAAAGGAACGAGCTGAAGGAGGTGCCCGATGACCTGCCAGCTGGTCTGGAGCAGCTTAGACTCAGCCGCAACCAGATCTCAAAGATTCCCCCAGGAGCGTTCAGCAAGATGGAGCATCTTGCGCTTTTGGATCTCCATCACAACAGAATCAGTGACAGCAGCATGGGCAAGAACATCTTCAAGGATCTGAAGAACTTAATTCAGCTCAACCTGGCGCACAACATCCTGAGAAAGATGCCTGCGAATATACCAAACACCCTCTTCCAGTTGTTCTTGGATAGAAACAACATTGAGGAGATTCCACAGGACTACTTCAAGAATTTCGCAAGCCTTGCCTTTGTGAGACTTAACTACAACCAGATTAGTGACAAAGGTCTTCCCAAGAGCGTGTTCAATGTCAGCTCACTGTTGGATTTGCATTTGGCCCATAACAAGCTGAGCAATGTTCCTCTGTTCAACTCCGAGTTGGAGCAACTCCACCTCAACAACAACAACATTGAGAGTATGTACTTCCATTAATTCTTTAATTCTGACACAAAACATGTTCACACATGATCAACACCTTTCTTTATCTTCTGTAGGTGTAAATGGAACTGAGATCTGCCCCCCTCACAATGTGCATGATGAGAATGGAGCACCCAAACTGAGATACCTGCGTTTGGATGGCAATCACTTGAGTCCTCCAGTCCCCCTAGATGTCATTATGTGCTTTAGACACCTCCATGCAATAGTGATATAAGTTAATATAGATGATGAACACATTCATGCATGCCTGTGTACGACCAGGCCTTCCTGTCTACTTGATAGTGCTGAGTGAATCAACAGTAGGTGACCAGAAGAAGCAAGTAAGCAATTAGGAATAAATGGCAATGCATTTATTTTTCAGTTTACGTTCAGGAATGTTTCAAAGTGTAACCTAAAATCCTTCAACACACCATATTTATTGACTTTACTACATTGAGTACAACTGAGCATGAGTATTCTGCATTACATGTTTCATGTGATTATACTGAACAGAACCAACAGCGATGTCTGTGAGTGCGATTAATAAAACCCTAAAAATAAAGGTACATTAACTGACGTACTGTGCTACAGACAACAAGTATAGTTACAGGGGTGGACTAGAGATGCGTTTACACTGGTTTGTTTTCAGAGTTTTAGAATGGTAATGATACTTATCCATATTGGCCTTTTAATGCATTTCAGAAAATTAATCACCAATCAACAGATGATAAGTGACCATTCAAGCTTATCGGCATGACCATATTGTGCCGGCATTTGTACTTGCCATCTACTGGTTGCATAAAGGTCATATGATACGGACTTGACAAATAAGGGAACAATACGCAATTGTCCAGAAGATCAATTAGAGAGCCATTGTGAATAACCACAACTCCATTTTTTAAAGCCTGCGTTTAGCACGTATATTCTTAAAAAGAACCCTAGAAATTCCAAACTAAACTGGGTTTTTCAGCATTTTTCAAATCAAAGATGATGGAGTAGTATAGATGCAAGGCGTAATTATAGTAAAACGTACACATTTTAAAACAAACTAGTGTAAATTGCACCTTAGGGTGTGTTCACACTTGTAGTTCAGTTCTGTTGGTAGTCCTGGTTTACAACATGTACACACTGTCATGTTCAAGACCGAACCTAAAGATACAAAACAAACAGCTTTTATGACTGTCGCCTCACTGCAAGAAGGTCAGTGGTTCAAGCCTCGGCTGGGTCAGTTGGCCTTTCTGTGTGGAGTTTGCATGCTCTCTCTCTGATCACGTGGGTTTCCTCGGGGTGCTCTGGTTTACCCCACAGTCTAAAGACATGCAGTATAGGTGAATTGAATAAACTAAATAGGCTGTAATGTATGAGTGTGTTTGGGTGTTTCCCAGTACTGGGTTGCCGATGTGTAAAACATATGCTGGATATGTTGGCGGTTCATTCTGCTTGATGAATAAATTGACTAAGTCGAAGGAAAATTAATTATTTAATGTATGTTAAGATTTTATATAATGTGTAAAGGTGTCTTAACAGGGTCAGAGTAAAGATCTGATTAATGTGATATGGTTGAATGGTTAGTTTAGATTCATTTGGCTTGCTGCATTCATTTTTCAGTCAAAACACACCAGAGTTTGCTTTTGTCAGTGGTCTCAGTTCACTTGTTTGGTGTACACCAGGGTTCAGATGGCAGCATTAGTTTTTCACAGGAATTGCACAAGAGTTTGTTTTAATCAAACTACAACTGCCAAGTGTGAATACACCCTAAGATATATGATAAGTGGAGGAATAATGTAACTACTGTGTAGTTGAAAATGTCCTTAATGTGCCTGTGTTTTTAAAGTGTGTATTTCGTTCTTTATTTTGTGTCAATATTTCTATATTAATAAACATGAACAAAAAGACATTTTATATTCCAACAAATTTGTTTCCACAAAGACAAATTATGATCAAATACTAGTTCCAAGTAATTTCACTTTTTTAGATTTGCACAAAATAATTATCAGAGAGTTTAGCAATTCTTTGTATACACCAAGAATCATGCACACACTGTATAGTTTGACATGCAATTTAAAAGTGGAAAGATTTTGTCATTGCAAACGGTGCACCTGCTATATCCCACAGTACCAATAACATTCAAATACAAAACAATAAAAGAAGTAAAACTAGACATGAAGACAGATTTAGTGTATAATCTATGACACGTGTAAACTATAAAAAAAACTTAACCCAGTACCAATTTTGTTTGTGCCTATGGCGACACCTTGTGGTAATGTAATTGGATTTGGCAAGACACAAGCATCTCATTGATAATCTCATGTTGAGATCTGATAGATGGTAAGCAAAGAGATGGATTAAAACACTTGAGAAATGGCCACATGAAAACTACATTACATTAAACTGCATTTTGAGAATGGTTAAGCCAGTGAAAAAGTGTGATATGAGACCGTTCATTTAGAGCCAACATTATTTAGATAAATTCTCAGACATTTGTAAAAAAAACTTCTTGAACGTATTATTTTTTATAAACTATAGGAAAATCTAAAATTCTTAAAAACATTTTTTTTTTTTTTACTTTAAAGTAGCAGGATAGAAATAGCAAAAGACAGGAAGTAGCAAAAGAATTTATTCGCAGGAAAATATAAACTACTGCGCTCTTTAGACTTAGATGACAAAAAAAGAAACAAAAACGTATCGATTTCTTATAGTGAAAATTAGGTTAAGGAAGGAATTACGTCTTGGGACACTGACAATTAAAATGTAGTGTATGGATACTGAAGAAGGTGAACAGTTTTCCCATTCATTTTGGTAAAACAAAAGTTTAAGGACAATCTTCTAGAACATTCTTGAAAATGTTTTGTGGCATCTGTGTCCCAAACACTGAAAAAAAAATCCCAAACAACCTGTTTTCTTTCGGTAATCTGACTCGTGAAATCCTACACTGATAAAAGTGAAACTACACTCAAAAAATATTTTTGCTGTTTGTTCAAACTACTTATTTAAAATGTGGTGAAACAACACAATTCTGAGGGGAAACTTTAATCTACTTCAATTAGTAACATTAACTTAAAGAATTTGTGTTGGGATGACATGAATGGGGCGACGCAGTTGAGCAGACAGTCATTGGGTGCAGTAGTGCTGGGTCGTGGGTTCGAGCCTCGGCTTAGTTGGTGTATCTGTGTGGAGTTTGCATATTCTCCCTGCGTTCGTGTGGATTTCCTCCGGGTGCTCCGGTTTACCCCACAATCCAAAGACATGCGGTACAGGTGAATAGAGTAGGCTAAATTGTCCATAGTGTATGAGTATGTGTCTGTGAATGTGTGTGTGGATGTTTCCCAGAGATGGGTTGCGGCTGGCAGGGCATCTGCTGCGTAAAAATGTGCTGGATAAGTTGGCGGTTCATTCCGCTGTGGTGACCCCAGATTAATAAAGGGACTAAGCCAACAAGAAAATGAATGAATGAATGACATAAATGGATTGTGTGGAACCCGTGCATTTTTTACAGTGCACTGTGTCCTTCATTCAAATTAAATTGGATAAGGTCAGTGGTTCTCAATTCGGATCCATGAACTGGTCCTCGTGTGTCAAATAAAAAAGACACACAAAGTGTGAAGGGCGAGGGGGCGAGGGATGTCCAGATCCGATCATGTGATCGGAAATCGGGCATGATCACGTGGTTTTCAGACTCGATTGGAATTGGATGTTACCTCTGGATCAGGACTCGAATAAATAAATATATACAGTTGAAGTCAGAATTATCAAAGCCCCTTTGATTTTTTTTTTCTTTTTTAAATATTTCCCAGATTATGTTTAACAGAGCAAGGAATTTTTTACAGTATGTCTGATAATATTTTTTTTCTAGAGAAAGTCTTAATTGGTTTATTTCGGCTAAAATAAAAGCAGTTTTTAATTGTTTAAGAACCATTTTAAGGACAAAATTATTAGCCCCTTTAAGCTAATTTTTTTTCTGATAGTCTACAGAACCAACCATCGTTATACAATAATTTGCCTAATTACCCTAACCTGCCTAGTTAACCTAATTAACCTAGTTAAGCCTTTGTCACTTTAAGCTGTAAAGAAGGATTTTGAAAAATATCTAGTAAAATATTATTTTCTGTCATCATAGCAAAGATAAAATAAATCAGTTATTAGAAATGAGTTATTAAAACTATTATGATGAGAAATGTGTTGAAGAAATCTTCTCTCCGTTAAACAGAAATTGGGGGAAAAAAATAAACAGCCTTATTCCAAAATGGATTAAATTAATTTATTTCCTCAAAATCTAAACACAATACCCCATAATGACAATGAATTGTCGCAAATTTATTAAAAATAAAAAACCTGAAAAAAAAATGTCTTTTTGAATAGGATGCCGCAAGCTTGGCACACCTGTCTTTGAGGATTTTTGCGCATTCCTCTTTGTAGTACCTCTCAAGCTCTATCAGGTTGGATGGGAAGCGACAGTAAGAGCCATTTTCATCTCTTCAGAGATGTTCAATAGGACTTAGGTCTGGGCTCTGGCTGGGCCACTTAATGACATTCACAGAGTTGTTTTGAAGCCACTCCATTGACATTTTAGTGGTGTGCTTTGGGTCATTGTGCTGCTGGAAGATAAACCAGAGGCAGGTTTTCATTCAGGATGTCTCTGTGTACATTGCTGCATTCATCTTTCCCTCTATCCTGACTAGTCTTTCAGTTCCTGCTGCTGTAAAACGGATAGTATTAGCCTGGTGATGAGCGGTGCCTGGTTTTCTCCAAACATAAAGCCTGGTATTGACTCCAAAAAGTTAAATTTCAGTATCATCAGAGCAGAGAATTTAGTTTCTTATAGTCTGAGAGTCCTTTAGATGCCTTTTGGTTAATTCCAGGCGGGGAGTGGTTTCCGTCTGGCCACTCTACCATACAGGCCTGATTGGTGGATTGCTGCACAGATGGTTATCCTTCTGTAAGGTTCTTCTCTCTCCACAGAAGAATGCTGGAGCTTTGACATGCACTGTCAGCACTGGGACCTTATATAGACATGTGTATGCCTTTCCAAATCATATTCAATCAACTGAATTTAGGTTTACCACAGGTGAACTCCAATGAAGCTGCTGAGCTATATATATATATATATATATATATATATATATATATATATATATATATATATATATATATATATATATATATATATATATATATATATATATATATAAATTAAATAAATAAATATATAAATCCACAAACACAAAAAAACAGCAACGTGTGCGGCATAACATCATTTTGTTGCATAAACGTTATTGGTTAAATGCCAGCAAAGTAGAACATGGAAGCAGCTTGAATCAGAAAGTGCATGTCTGCAGTCTGGAGGTATTATAAAGTTGATGACAACAACATTGCCATTGTCATTGCCAACATTGTGAGATATGTAAATTTGACATTGCAAGAGGTGGAAAAGAAAATGCTACATTTCACACAACAAACCTGATAAGACACACTATTTCACTGAGAATGCTCTGCCAGCCCTTTATGAGGGGATTTCTGACAAACTACTTGTTCTGTTATAACATGTACCCCATGTTCCGTTCATCACAGACATACTA